TCCAATCTTAAAGGTCTACTTCATAATTTTTACCTTCTGTTTGAGTTTCTCCTGAAGTTGCTGAGTAGTATCCAAGCAGTATTCAGCTGTCACAAGAAAAGTACAAATCAGAACCTTAAACAGGAATGTTAAAGAGACTGTATGCGTAATTTGATGTGACCCTCCATGCAATGATGGTAATGCCCGATTCACAACAGAACCCTTAATAGCTTTGGCTGCTTAAGTCAGTGTGAATTATATATATGCAGTGATTAGAATCTTGCAAGCTGGTAATTTTCAATTGTGGTTTCTCCACAAAAGTGACTTACGCATTTCTACTGCAGTAAAACATTTTAAAAATTATCAGAATTAAACACATTCAAACTTAGAAAAACAACAATATCTTTCGCTTTATTGATTAGATTAGGGTTTCAAGGATACTGGTGTGAATCGGAAATTACCATCTTTACATTGAGGGTCACTTGCAATTACGAGATCAGTCCCTTTAAAAGTTTGATATCCAGTATCCACAGAGAAAACGTTTAATTTGAAGTGAATGCATTACGAAGAACAGCTATATGTTTTTGTAGGCTACGAGGTTTGTGATTTAGGTGTCAGAGCTTTACGAGACATTCAAAAGATATGGATCTCTGAGACCGAATTTATTTTTGGGCAATGTCGCTTAACTTTCTACTGCCGGTTCATATTTGAACCACCGGTATACAGTTAAAATTCATAAAATTCAGTCTCTAAATCGATTTACAATCCAGGGTTAATAAATTATAAATATATTACCTGGTCCTGGTCTGAAAACCTGACTGTTTCACCTTCCTTGAGCAGAGAACTAAAGTTCTGAATAAGTCCGCTTGTGGCCTGCACACAACAAATTTGCTTCTTTTCCAAAATTAAGTGTGGGAGTTAAAGGATTTCCAACAAAAAAAAATTTCTTGTTTTCTTATATTTAGTTGTATTAATTAACTCAAAAGTTTCAAGAAAAAAAGAATGCATTTTGTATTTAAAAAAATAAATGGGGGGGGGGAAATAAAATTTATAGTTATAAATGGTTAAGCCCCCCCCCCGAAAAATTCCCGTGAATGCCCTTGTCTGGTTCTTAAAACTAAGAAAAACCAGTTCACAAACCTATTTCCTTTTTTACCTGGGAGAAATCTTTCAGATCTTTGAGCTGACTGACAGCTGGGAAGGAAATACTGTTTACAGCCCTCACTCCAATCTAAAAACAATACATCCTTGGACTCAGTGCTTAGGATCCGGATCCGGATCCGTTGGATCTGCAAGATTNACAATATATTTTTATATCTCTGCAGCTAGGTAAAACAGAGGTTCCTATAATAATAATATATTTTCATATCTCCGAAGCTAGATAATACAGAGGTTCCTATAATAATAATATATTTTCATATCTCCGAAGCTAGATAATACAGAGGTTCCTATAATAATAATATATTTTCATATCTCCGAAGCTAGATAATACAGAGGTTCCTATAATAATAATATATTTTCATATCTCCGAAGCTAGATAATACAGAGGTTCCTATAATAATAATATATTTTCATATCTCCGAAGCTAGATAATACAGAGGTTCCTATAATAATAATATATTTTCATGTCTACGCAGCCAGATAATACAGAGGTTACTATAACAACAATATATTTTTATATCTCTGCATCTAGGTAAAACAGAGGTTTCTATAATAACAATATATTTTTATATCTCTGCAGCTAGGTAAAACAGAGGTTTCTATAAGAACAATATATTTTTATATCTCGACAACTAGATAAAATTTTGGTTCCTACAAAAAAATTGTTTCAGCCTTTACACTTTGCTATACACAAAGATTCCTAATAACAAATAACAACAAATAAATATTTTCAACCTTTGGAACCAGAAAAAAAAATATTTTTGGCTTTTACAGTTACATAAAGCAGAGGTTTCAATAGGAATCGTATCTTTAATATGGTCCTTTCAAACTAGCAATTATTTAGGATTGGGCTAGAACGTCTATTATTTCAGGTTTTTCATACTTTAAATTCATTATTTTAAAGAATAGTTGGAAACATCTACGTAACTATCTATCTATCTTTCTTAACCTAACCTAACCCGGAATAGTTAAAAATGAGACCAACGAGGTTATAGTGTATAGAGCGATGATGTACACTAATCCTTTACTAATTTTACAGTTACGATGATCCGAGCTTCACACTGTCATTTTTTGTCATTTTTTATATATTTCCAAATTTTAGCAAAGAGCCATCAATGTTCATTGCTATTAAAGATAGAAACTAGCCCCCCAGCATGTTTATTTTAAAACATGCAAAGTTATTTTAATTATTGCATTCTTCTTTCAAGAGATAACACACACTGTGTTTGTAGTTCCCCCCAGTCATACTTCACAAAGTATGATATCCTTTAATTTATAATAAAGTTCTTTTTTTCTGAACTGTTGCTTTGTAGCATAATTTTAATAGAAATTCAATCATGAAAGAACTTAAAAATAAAATGTATCTGTAAAATTCTAGATTTCACCTTATCAAGTTGTATGTATACGATAACATATATAAAATTCTTTTCGTAAAAGTTTGTAAACTGTAGATACGTAAATAAATATCTAGATCTTAAAAAATTTTACAGGCCATAAACTATACCGAGAGCGTACTGCATATTTGTTTATTATAAGTTGATTCCGGCCTAACCTATAGTATATGTCGTACATGGTAAGAAACCTCTATGGCAGATTCTCAGGGCTTATCTTGGGGGGGATGGGTCAGACCAAGTAGTCTTACTTGAAAGAGGGAGGAAAATGGCAGTTTGTTTATAGTACAGTTGTACAGGACAACTAACTGAGCACACAGGTATAGAACTATCATCCCCCCTGGGTGACAAACATTTTTTGTCAAGCATTTTTCTGTCTCTTTAATTCATTTACCATTAACACATTGAGGTTTAGAAATAAAAACCTTAAAAACCTTAAATACTTATTTCTAAAATTTTTGTTTATAAATTCACCTGTTTCAGGTTTAAACTCAGGTGTTGGCTGCTTCTTCAAATCTTCAACAAATCTAGAAATCAAAACTTAAAATGAAAAATAAGTCCTAAAAAATATGTTCTTCATAATCGTTGTTTTTAAATTTTCGATTACTGAAAAGGTTCATTTATTGCAAATATTCTGTCTTACAGTGATAACCAGAAAACTTCAAGAAATAGGAAGACGACTTTATGGCAATACTTAAGCGTATTTGATAATATTACAAAGCAAATAGTTTTACTAGACACTTATTAAATCACTAATTTAGTGAAATGGGTCTGCTTAAACTGTACAATTGCTGCGTACCATGCCTATTGGACCATTTTACTTCAGTCTGAAAATCGTCTTCACATTCAGAGTTTTCTGGTTATCACTGTTCATTGTACAGTTGTACGGTGGTAAATGTGTACATAAGTCCATTTGGTTGGTTTTGACTTAAGATCATAAGTTTAAAAAGTTCCATTTCTTCAGATGTTTTCAATCCAAGCAAGATATACAAGGCTACCCATAAAGGATGAGACTGTACAGACGACCCGAACATCNTAGGAAATAAACATTAAACATTTCGTACAGTTGTCTTTGAAGTCTCATCCTTTGAGAGTAACCTTGTGGCTGTATGTTTGTTTAGTTTAATAATACATGAAAACCAGTTTACAATTTTGAACAACAGGTGTGGATAAAAGAGGTAAAATTATGCAATGCATGTGTTGCGTTTAAGTTGTACGGTGTAAAGTGTACAGTAGTTCACTTGTCCCATTGTACAGTGGTACAGATTAAAGTACATTAACCACCTGTCAATTAGCTCTGCAAGGTTTCTATCCTGTGCATCTATATATATGTAAAGGTACTGCTCAAAACATTGACTGATAATTCCCCTAAAACAAAAATCAAAAATAAAATTTTCTAAATTTTTTTTTGATACTTACTTGAATGGTTGACTCGTGATTGATTGATAGTTTTGACTATCAATGGTTCCCGTTTCTTCAAATGGATTGTTGGCAGGATCGTAGTTACTGCTCAGATGTAATGTTTTACCTAAAAAGAAGAAAGTGAACAAATCAGCGAATAAAATAATTAGAAAGAAAGCATAAATGGGCTAACCTAGAAACCGACGAGAGAGAAGAGACTCAAACGCCGTAGTTTTCTGAATGGAATGAAGCAGAAGCTTGGTGTCAACCTCCTTTATTCTCTTCTGAAGGATCCGACTAAGATCTGTGCGCGTGACACGACAAAATTCCGCGGCAATGCGCTCGGACATCTCCCAGTCCGGTGGGAAAATAGGACCATGGCGTTCCTTAATAGATTTATACAGATGATAATCAAACTAAAATGCAACTAGACTGTGATAAGATGAAAACTATGAAACAGGAGAGCAAAAAAAAACTAAAAGAGTTTGTTAATTAAAAAGACTTACATCAGACTTTACAAGTACTTCTGAATGAAAAAACCCGTTACCTCAAATTCGATCAAGTTTTTCTTAAACCAAGTAAAGCGTCGATCTATTTTATCTAACCAGGCCTGCTCTTCGTTGTCCTGATTCAAATATTACAGTATTAGAGCCGGAAACTTTTAAAAGATTGGAATGAGTTTAACTCGTTCTTTCATTGGTCAAAACTTTTTAAGTGAAAAATGACTTTGAATAATCGAGTTGAATAATTAAATACGTTCCATTTAAAGTTATCAGCTTTTCCCGGCCTCGTAGAAATCATGTATTTTCCTGAATTCAACCAAAAAATTCCTTAAAGACTGTGAGAATAAATGAGTATTTTAAAAGGGGGAAAAGAATTTTCAAGATTATATATACCCCTGTTGGAATAGAAATTTATGTCATTTTGAATATTTCCATATATTAAGCTACTAACCTGAAACATAATAGTGTACTCCTTTACTTGAAGCTCGATGAACCAGGAGATAAGAGACCGTTTAACCCTGGTTAATTATATTTCTTTTTATATTTTATTTTAATTCAAAAGAAAAATGTTATCAAATAACTCCAACAATTATATTATCCTTTCAACCAGACAAATATATTAGGCAAGGTACTAATGCAAGGAAAGTTATTAGATAGGTGTACGCATTTTTTGTACTGTAGTGTACTGTCTTTGGGCGGGAAGGTAAACACAAGACGGATGTCAAAGCCTGACATGGAATCAATTTTCACAAAAATAATCTATGAAATATTCTGATCATAAGAAACTATTGTTAATTTTTTTTTTAATTATCAAAATTAAATGCTTTTATCTTCCTCGGATACTAGACGAACACTGATTTATCTTCTTGTTTCCAAATTCCGCCCAGAGAGAACTGGTTTCAATATGTACACAGAGTATACGCGACCGCAATTAACTTTCCTTGCATTAGGTTCTTTATAGTAAATACCCGAATAATTAGTTGGGGCCAAGTCAAACTATACGGAATTTAGGCTGTATCTTGATCTTTTGTTGATCTGCAGATTAATTTAATCCTTATTCGATATCCCGCATGGTACTCATACCCAGTCAGGGGTTGAAGAGAGCTTTGATTAGGAGAGGAATAACTAAAATGAAGATATAAAAAAGGTTTAGTTTTTATAGATACCCAAATTAAAAGTGCACACTAATGTTCTCACACTGTACGCTTAACCCGTTCAAGCAAGGTCAAAAAATCATGTTGCAATTCTGATTTAGTTTGGGCCTGGTCCAACTATGTAGATTGTAGAATGTAGGGTAAAGTTAAAGGCAGACTGGTTAAAGCAAAAATTGAGATGAAATGATAAAAGCTTTGAAATATAACCGTGGATCTAGCACAGAGACAACCAGACATGCTTCAGCTAACTGTTTACTGCCACCAGCACTCCTTAACAAATGGCAAATTAGAAGATTTAGATGAAAAAACTATTCCTCAAAAGTTTTCCAATTGATCCGAGGACAACAGGCAGACATAAAACGCATTAAACACCTCTGAACAATTTTTATAATTTGCTTTTACCAACAAAACTGTGCAAAAAAAAATACTAATTTTAGATCAAATACATAAAATTTAAGACAAAAAAAACATCGAAAAATAAATATTACAAATCTTTCAGATATTAAAGAATTACAAATCTTTTAGATATTAAAGAATCCTAGGTTTTTACTCGGGTGGATTCGCCTGGTGCTGCCACGCCTGCATGGCAGGGGAATGAAAAAAGCACGATCAAAATTAAAATAGTACCAATCAATTAATAATCAAGTAAGATTAATCTTGGTTTTAAAATAAACACTCCCTTTTTAGGCTCAATTAAAATAAGATTTTGCTACAATTCAAATGACTAACTTTGAATGATCTCCGGAAAGGGCAACCTCAAAATCCTTCCTGATCTGGTCTCCCAACTCCTTCTTTAAGGACTCCACCTAAACATTGAAATCCATTATACCTCTCTACTTATTTAAAATACTTTTAACAAAAATTGTATTAATTCATCCCGGCCAAGTCAAAATCATTGATTAGCAACAATTCAGGTAAAAAACCGTTCAAATTGTTTCTAAACATTACATTGTGACAAAAAAAACTTTTCAGAAAAAGGAAGGGGAAACAATTTTCAAAATAATTTTCACATCCCATTCTTAAATTTTTTATATTTTTAGGGGGGGAAAAATTGGACATCATAAAAAGGCAAATTATCCTTATCGATACTTTTAACCCAAAATTTTATTTCTTTTATCCATTGTAGCAAAATAATTAACCTAACGTTCGGGGAAAGGGGAAAATAATGATTTTTCAAAACAGAAAATATACACCCCTGCAGTAAAATTAATTCTCCTTCAATCCTCACCTGTTCTGCAAGCTCCTTTATCTGTGGAATCCTCTGATATGAATAGAAGTGATTTAAAACCTGGTTTTAATATAACAATTCATAAGAATAATACAACAAAAAATTCCTTTGATCGTAAAAATACCCTGCACAATAGCAAATAAATCAAGTTTTGCATAAAAATACGCGAAAAAATCAGAAGTACTTTAAAAAATATAGTTTTCTTAGCCCTAATCAGATCCGCATTTAATAAAATGGAAAATAAGAAATGGTTCGAACTCTGTATTTAAAAATGTCCACAAATGAAGTAAGGACAATTTGAACTGTTTAGGTACTAGGTAGCCTTTAAGAATGTTTTCCTCAAGAAGTCCTTGTAGAAGAAGGGCAGCTTCTCCATACTGCCGCTTTGCAGTCAGAGTAGCAAGGGTAGCAGTTCCGCCGACCTACAAGAATAATTGTTAAACAAAATCAATCCTCATATTTTAATGTACCACACAATGTGCTACCTTGTTGGAAGCTACCTTGATTTATGAAGCAAGGTTTACTTTAGATTTGTTTTAAATATCTTTTATTTCATAAAACAAGATATTTAGCAAACATGATCGTAATTAATTAAGCTTTTTACAGCTATGTTTAAGTACAAGGAGGGATCAAATGTGCTTGGTTATTTATTAGAACATGGGAATGAGTGAAAAATAAGGAAGAATTATTTCAGGAATTATTTTCATTTTAATAGACAAACCATCATTTAGGGTTGAAAAGGAAAAAGGAAATATCTGGGAAAAAAACTGAAAAAGAAAGATAAAATCAAATGGATAACTAATTACCCCTGCTGAAAGAAAATGGTTCATAAATCTTTGATCTGAGGCCGAATTTAAAGAGTTTGAGCGGCGGTTTAAATTTAAGCCGCAGCTTAAATGTGGTAGGTTCCACTTCAAATTGTATCAAATGTTTCAAGATTTAAGCCGGCGCTTAATTTAAACCCGGTTTTGGAAGATTTAAACCGCGGCTCAAATTCTTTAAATTCCATCTCTATAATATTACCAGCATATGAAGATGATTAAGAGTTGTGATGGCAGTTGTAAGATTCCGTTTAGCTGTATCCAATTGTTTAATATCCCGTGTTATTTCTTTTACCATAGTTTCACTCTCCCCAGCCTTGTTCTTTATATCCCTTCAAAAATAAATTTTTCACAAACTGTCAAACAATTAAAAGATTGAAATCAAAATTAGTTTTTGACAGAATGTTTTTTCCTCCCGGGGCCCCATTACCACATATAAAACAATTTACATGTTATATCCTTGTTAAGATGGTGTAAAAATGTTTTTCGATGATTACAAAATAATGGTGTAAAGAGGCTTCAAAGTTTCTGTCAATAGTAAAAAATCAGATTTGAATTTTTGTAGAGGGGTAGGGGGAAGGTTTCCCCTGCAACCTGATACCTTAACGTTAATATTACTTGTTAACAATGTTAATTAATGTTAACAATGTAATAATAATAATAATAATTTACCCAATCTGTGAGAATAATTGATTTCTATTAAAATCTATCTAATCTTAAGAATAGTTAATTTTTATAAAATCTACCTAATCTGTGAGAAGAGTTGAAGAATGGCCTGCTGTGCCTCCTCTAGTGCAGCAGCGGCATCTCCTCCCACCGCAACCTTAACAGTACTGTACAGTGTACATGACAAGAAACATATCACTGTCCGATGTACATACCAAGATACATATCATATTTAACAGTACTGTACACTACAGTGTACATAACAAGATACATATCAAAGTTCGAAGTACTGTACAGTGTATAGTGTACACAACAAGATAAATGTCAAAGTTAACAATGAAAATATATAAATAAGAGTTGAGAGTACTATACAGTGTACATAACAATAACCATACCAGTGTTAACAGTACTGTGAAGTGTACACAATATACAAATCAAAGTCAACAGTACTGTTTAATACAGTGTACATAACAAGATACATACCAAAGTTAACAGTACTTCACAGTGTACATGACAAGAAACATACCAGAGTTAACAGTACTTTACAGTGTACATAACAGTTGACGTACTGTACTGTACCAGATACATAACAGTTTACAGTTCTGTACCACTCAAAACAACCTACCCTTGTTAAAAGTGTCCAGACTGCATAGTAAGTTGTAATTGCTTATAAGTAATATCTCTTGCTTTGTAGTTGAATAAAAAAATGAAAATATTATCAGCTGGCAAGAATACACCCCCCCCCCCCCC